CTTAAAAGCTGTCCATTCATTTTCGCATCTTTAGTAAACGTTGTCCCAAGTTACATAAATTCATCTACAGGTAGTCCTCACTTAACAATGGTAATTGGGACTGGAATTTCTGTTGCTAAGCTATGCAGTTGTAAAGCACAACATCACACGACCGTGGCTCTTAGCAACAGCTGTTCTGGCAGTCCCCAGTTACCATCATTAAGCAAATCACTGCTAGTCATTAAGCAAGGACTTCACATGACCATGACTTTCAACTTCCTGCCAGCTTTCCCATTGACTTTGCTTGTGGGATGTCAGCAGGGAAGATCACAAATTGTGAACATGTGACCACAGGATTCCGCATGGTCAGAAATCCAGGCCGGTTGCTGAGTGCCTGGATTGCGATCACATGACCATGGGGGCGCTGTGACAGCTGGAATTTCAAGGACTGGTTGTAAGTACTACTCATTCAGTGCCATCGCAAGTTCGAATGGCCGCTGAAAGAGTGGTCATTAAACAAGGACCACCTGTACTTGCTCACTTTTTTATCATTTATTTATAACTTATAATCATTCACTCCATTCTTCCTATCAAACACAGCTGCCTTGATCTTTGAAATATTTATTTTCAGATCCATACTCCTCATTGCATAATACAATCTATCCAACATTTTCTGCAAATCATTTGGGTTCTCAGCCAATGGCAAAACGTCATCTACATTTAAAAGTACATGACCATGCATGTCTCCAACCACCATATCTTTAACATCCTATATATTTTCTTTATATACTCATCCCAAAATACATTATACAATCAAGGGAAGATGGCATATTCTTGTTTTATGTCTTGCTTTGTGCTGAATCATTTGCAAAATATTTATTCTCATGCATGTTTTACTTCTACCGTAGGCCGCTCATCAAATTCAAAAACCAGCCTTCAACTTTATATTCACTCAAGCATTCCATAATTCAAGCCTATGCACTTTCTCATACCCTTTCTCTAAATCAACAAACATACAATGCACCTTTTTCCTAACATTTCTCATGACTGTGGAAGAGCAAAATTTTGGTCTGCACACCTCCTGCCTGACATACAGTTGTGCTGCACTTCCTTGTCACTTCTTGTACCCTTTCTATCATTTTCTGGAGGCATTTAACAAAATCCCATGTAGTTTTTGTATTTGTTCTTACTATTTTTCTCTTTTTTAAGGGAACAATAATGACATTCTTCCAGTCATCAGGCACAGATGCAGTCTTCACACACGTTAGACGTGCTGCACCGTCACTCTATTAACAAACCATATCCATATTTTAATATTTCTCCAGTCTCAGCACACCTTCAGCCAACATTTATATAGCATTTAAGACTTTATTTTCATCATTTCTTTCTTGGATACTAATATTTATAACATTTGTTTCAATTCTTGACATATCCCTTTCATTCCCATAGAAATGTTTAAAACACTCCTTCCAGCATTTCCTAGCTTCAGTCACAACCCAGATCATTCCATCACATTTATTTTTAATTCCATTCACCCTGCTGGAGGCTCCTTGTTTAGACCTCTTCACCCACTTTCAAAACAGTTTTTCACCATCACTTCATTTTTCACTCTCTCCAAGGGACTATGCCCTGCAGAAAGACACTCAGGAAAGCCCCTTAATCAACCTTAGAGACATAATGAAAGACAAAACGTGGCCTTTGCATCTGATGGCTGTTACGTGGAGGTGTACCTTGTTAATGATGCTTCGGCGTGGCTGTTGCCATGTTTTCCCTTTGGATCTCCCAGCTCCTCCTGGAATTCTGGAGCTCTTTCACCCTTGTAAATGCTTTGGTCTCCTCTCTCACGTTTAAGAATACTTAAAAGGTGTTCTTAAAAGCTATTCTCACCTTTTAGTGTTGAAAGAAATTCTCCCTTTCCAGTGGAAAGAACACTGATTTAACACCCTCTGTGACTTGTCACAGCAAATACAGGTGGTGGGGGGTTTTTTTGCAGATTTTTAAACTGCAACTGTGCTACAGCTTAGCTGTGCATGAAGTGTATCAAAATAAATAAATGGCCAATCTTCCAAGCCTGACTGATAACAGTAAGGATATGAAGGACAGTTTCCTATTTCCTGCCAGTGGGCTACCTCATCAAAGGCAAAGACAAAAGGCTGATCAAGAGGAAGAACGATGTATAGTTCTCTCACCTCACATTCTTTTCCACAGTGACAGAATAAGAAATAAAAACATCACAAAACCTCTCAGAAAAAAATAATAAAGATGCTGAAATCACATGGGTTGGCAATTGGGTCAGATGAGCTTAGCCATTACGACAAAGGCCTTCCAGATGATGTTAGCCTCTGCCAGCATTTCATGGTCAGGGAAAGGAAGAGGTATAGCCCTTCAACAGCTGGAAGGACCGAAGGTCCTCCCCACTGAGTTACTGCATGGAAGAAAATAGGCGTTTGGTATTTAAAAAACAAAACGCCCAATCTTATTAACCACACTCAGTTGCTATTTGGTCACTCCTCATCTTAAAGTAACTAGTGGGGCAATGTAGTACTGTAGTCACGTCAACTCAGAATAGGCATGTTCAATGGAGCTTTCACCTACGTAAGCAGACAAAGGATTGCAGCTTAAGGCTTATTTTTATTTTAGCCATTACAAATTTAACAGTTTGTTTTGATTTCATTATGATTTATTTCTTCACTATTTAAGGCTTTGCAACTTGTAGGAAATAACCACCTTATCTGCCTTTTCTGTTGTTCTTATTGTTCTTGATGTCATATTTGGGGTTATGCAAAAGGAAAGCCCTACATTTAATAAGATTGTTAACTTCTAAGGAGTCTTATTTGGTTTAATGTGTGGCTAATAACATGCTAGAATACTAGTGATTAGAAGCCAGGAAGATACATTCACTGATCCCCTCATTTGCTCAGGCCTCACTTATCGTCTGCCTGAATGGAAACTGAACAATCTGCATTTGTTCCTGTAAGTAGGTCACTGGGGAGACTACGCTACTCTCCCCCCACCACACAACAGGACCACCCCGCCTGACAGATCCTCTTGCTTGTCAGTTACTTCAGTGTGAAGTCAAAATCACAATAAGCCAGCAAAACGAAGAAAGGACTAACCCTCTTCCTTGCCAGCTTGCTGTTGTTTCTGGCTTACGCAGGGCTTGCAGAGTTGAAGCCCAATGGGTGAGAGGAACCACAAGGCAGGAACACGGTCAGGAGTCTGGGGTAAGGTAGTAATTTTCCCACAGCCAGTTCCACAGCTCAGGATGTCACTTTGCCTTGCCTTGAACCGTGCTAGGTCAAGAGGTACTGTGTTTGGGTGCATGCTGTAGAAAGGGAAAATAGGACCTGTTGAAAGTCTATTGCCACACAACTGTAAAAAAGATGGAAAAAAAGAAAACCAGGATAGTTTTATAGGCCGTCTCTTAGTTTCTACAGACATATTACAGAACTTAGATGAGGATTTCAGGACACAGCAATGGGAGTGGTGAAGGACAGCAAGTGACAAAGACAGCAAGTGTGAAAGTGCTGTACTGGCAGAGAAGGTCACAATTTGGGACAGGGGAGGAGACCACAATAGCAGTTTGGGAAAGGGTGAAGATGCCAAAGGGAGCATGAGGAAAGCTAGAGAGGAGGACAAAGGGATGGGGAGGCTTGAAGACTGAGCTGTGCTGCCCAGCAATAGCAACTGGCACTTTGTAAGCAGCTGCACTTCAGCTAGAGAGGCAACTCATGGAGTATACTGGACTTTAGGTGCCTATGGCTGAAATGGCCATGTAGGCCGGTCACTCATCCCCTTCTCAGGAGCTCTTGTGAGAGGAGGGGAAAGGGAGGGGAAGTGGGATGGGCAGAAAAATGGCTTGGTGACCCACAGAAATTTGAGTCTGCTGAGGGCAGCTTTTTGTCTCCTGAGAGCTGCATCACATGGCAGTAGTGAAGGTAGCAGGAGCTAAGGGTGAGGTCAGAGCCAAGACAGGGTGAAGCCACATATTCTCTATATTTTGGGGCACCCACTTTGCTTTCCTTCTTTCTGATACCCTCTTCTCTCTCTCTCCACCCACCCACACATCAGTCCATGAGGGAAGGGACAGACTGCTGCCCCTGGGGATCTATATTGATTCCTTGTAATGGGCTTTGAAATTAGGCTGCGATCTTGCTTTCTGAGGTGTTTTTCTGGAGGCTTCTCACTTAGGGCTTTGGGGAAGTCATATGGTGAAAAGTGTATGCACCTTCTTTTTCTCCTCACCTGATTATACCATGGGGCATCCTTTCGGATATTTCTACCCCCACAGTGATTGTTCTTGGCAGATCTGCCCATTCCTGCTCTGCACTGAAGACAGGAGGACACAGAGCATCCAGCAAACAAGATCTTCCAATGGCTGATCAGTCACTTGATAGAGGCAGGGCCATAAGTTGTAAACTGGACCAGGGCCTGATATAGGAAGTGGGGCTGTGGATTTGAAAAACTTCTGGGTGATAGGAAACAGCCTACTGGGAGTCATAAAACCCAGTACATGTGGGCATGACATAACATAACATCTGTATCTTTATATTCTCAGAGCTTAAGGGAAGGTGGGCCCTGTATACCATTCTGATGGCATTTTCATATATCCCTTCCTGCAACTACTGAGGCCCAGGAACCAGGTAGCTCCTATAGTTAATGCATTGTATACAGTCATCTAAAGTGCAGAGGTCTGAGAATTCAATTCCAGGTACAGAGTCTGAACCCCACAGAAGAGTCCCAATAAAGGATGAAACCGATCACTCGATGCCTCCTGGTGGTCAGTCTAACTAAAAAATACGACACAGGATATGCACTGTGTAAAAATAGAGATATTGCCACTCCAGGAGTAGGGGTGGAAGTCATGTTAAGCCAAGCTTCCCTTCCAGAACACAATGGACACTTTAGTGCATAGTTAAGACTTCAGCACTGATGACAATCTGAAAAGGAAGGCTTTTCAAGGAAGAAGATTTGAACTTCTCTATCCACTCATTGCAGTTAATGATTGATCAGCTAATTTATAACAGGAGCCAAAGTCTGCATGAAGGTCTCAGACCTACCTCCATCACTGCAACAGAACCGAGCAGTGCTCCGCGAGCCTGCATGATTCCAGGTAAGGTTTGCGAGCTGTTGGTTGTCCCTCGGAGCTGTGTCCAGGGAAAGCGGGATGAGAATGACACCAGGCAGCCCTGTTACAGCATGAGGGGGGCCGTGGCTCCCCACCCATCTAAAGCAGGTGCTCTGCATAAAGAGCAAGTGCCGGGCCTGCAAAATCCTTCGGGGTTAATGGGATGATATGTACAAAGAGCGTGTGGTGGGCCTTCCTGGATTACTGCAGATCTTGTGTGGATGATCGCTTGCAGAAGAGCTGAGGCTCCCAAGAAGCGCCCCGACTTAAAAACGTCAACAACAAGGATACTACCCATACAGTCAGTGGAGTTTAGCTCATATTAGCACATACTCTTTTTTACCTCCTGTATGCTGATTTAATCAGAATTACTTTTTTTCAAAGGCAGCTCTCTAAATCACTTTAAAATCACATTTATCCTTAGAGACCCAAACCAGCCTTCCCTAATTCTGTGTCTCCTCCAACAGAATAGCCAGTAATTCTACACCTTAGATTATATTATCCAGCACATATTGTAGTACGTGCCAGGTTGTATCTCTCTTCTCCCACCCCACCCCCCGATCCCACCTCACCTTATAGCAATTGATCTTTATGTAGTTAAATTTACTTTGGGCAGATTCAGGACAGTACTTCCTATCATCAATAATTTGTTATGAGACACAACACTTGATAGCTACAAGCTTAAGTGGTTGTTTTAAAGTATTGAAGCATCTTTGTAGAAGATAAGTCCATGGAGTCCTTGGGGTTCTCTGAGCTTGGTTGTTTTCTTGCAAACGTTTCGTTACCCAGCTAGGTAATATCTTCAGTCATAGAATGGGGTTTGCTCTCTGTTTATATACAGTGGCCTGCCCTGCCAGTGTTGGTGGGGGTGCGGGTTTTGTTTTGCTCCTCTGGTAGTTCCTTGAG